ACTTGGATCAAATAGCTTAAATTACAAAAAACCTTTATAGATAGTTTTTTTTTGATTTTTTTTTTTTTTTTTAAAGATTTGTGAATAAGCTTTACTCTAATTTATTAATTGTGCTGTAAACAACATACATTGTATATTTCTGTCTACACTTACAATCCCTTAATTAGAATTCACCCACAGGTATACCATCTGAGTGCAGCCTACCTATATATGTATTGCTAACTCAAGTCTTACCGCAATATATCCTATTGGTATAACTAGATGTTCTATTTGACACTGTATGAAATTTAAGGGGAATTTGAATTTTTTGGGGCACTGGGGGTAGTATCTATATTTGGCGAATAGAACATTACAATTTAATCTTTCCAGATCTAATCACCTGCAGCTGGACGCATTATTTTCCATTTAATTTTCACTCTTCTCAAGCTACCCAAGAATGTCCAAGGAACTTATGTCACCAGGCTTATTGCTCATTTAGGTATCCACAAGATTACCTAGTAATTTTATTGTTGGGCTGCCTTCTTGGGATAAATAAATATCAGAGTGATTTATTACTGGATTGGAATAGGACCTTTCCAGCTATACTGTAGGAAGAGACACCAGGTATCACAAGGAAATGATCACCAAGCCATCTTTATTAAAAGTGGACACCTCATACTCCTTGCAACTTCCGGCGATTATCATAACACCAACTGGATGATCATCGCGTCACGACATCTTTTCTGGAAATTACAATCTCAACGCCTACTTGGATCAGCATGTGAAATGGCTTTTTATAAAAAACAGCGCTTATACAGGTTATGGCGCCAAATATCATATTAATTCCTATTCAACTGCCCTCACATGAGGTTGAACTGGTATCTTGTGATTTGACCTGTGGAGTGTTAACCACTATACTATAGATCCACAGGTCTAGTCTTTTTTTGACTTTATATTTAAAAAAAAACTTTTTTAATAGTGAGAAATATTTGAATTCTTTACAAAAGTTTAAAAGTAAATAAATATTAATTAATAAAATAAAATATTAAAAACAAAATATTGTAAAAATATCTCTGAAACACTTTGTATATTTTTAATATTATTTGAAATAATAGGAAATTTTGACTTATTTAAATCTTTATTAGACTTATTACTAGAGTTTATAGTTAAAATATATTTGTAACATGCCTTATATTGTTAGCATGGAAATCTGACAAGTCTATCACTTGAGCGTGCCTTATATCGTATAACAATAAGGCACATCCTCTACTCAAAAGAAGTGTATGTATTTGGTCTGAGCTGTGGAGTAGTGCTACAGATCAACCAGTAGATCTGAGGATCCAGGGGATAGTTACTCATGTATCAATTTTCCAAGTGTAGTGTATTAGGATGGTATAATAAGGCAGATATTCAACAATGGAATATGGAGGGATATGAAAGTTGCACAGTACCTGTTATTGATCTTCCTCATTTTTATCTGTACTTCTGTTACTTATATACTTCTTTATAATATATATCTTATATCTTATATATACTTTATATCTGATATATACTTTATACCTGATATATATATTTTTTTAAATGCAAGTAGGCTTTACTCTTAATTTATTAAATTTGCTGCAAATAACATATATTACATATATTTCTATTCACACTTAAATTATTACAATTAGAATTCACACACAAGTATACTACCCAGGTACAGCCTACCTATAAGAACTATTTAATTGCACCAATTATTTTCTAAATCTTCCAATCTCAAATTTGTAAACTTTTCAGTAAGATCTAACCACCAATCATATTATTCATCGGATTACTATATCTCTATCTCCTTCTGGTAGTTCATCTTATTTAAGACTGTGGACCCAAATTGTCACCATTTGAAGAAGTGGATGGAACCTGTTGACCAGAGTTTGTTTCAATACCTTTAAACACGGGGTTGATGATCCAATTCTTTTAGATAATATCAGACTTCAAGCATAGGCTGCTTATTTAAGAGGGTGCAACTCCTCCAAAGTCAGGTTAAGTCTTAAGGGAAATCTTTTATTTTGGCAATCGTTACCAACTAAGTATCTTCACTACAGGTAAAAATGGTGGGTATTGCTGGCAAGTCATCACTTATACTGAAAAGGGGTGTGTTGAAAGTCTTGCTGAATAGTTTTCCAGTTTTATGGTTCTCTGTATTAATTTCTTTTATAGTCTTATGAACTATAGGAAAGGGAAATAACCTGTTGTGAAACCGGAGATTGCACCAAACTGAACAACGATCATCATAACACCAATCAGATGATCGTCGCGCCATAGCACCTTTTCTAGGAAATTACAATCTCAACACTTGCTGGATCAGCATGTGAAACGACTTCTCATGAAAAACAGTACTTAACAAATTATGGCGCCAGGTACCATATTAATTCTATTCAACTGCCCTCACATGGAGTTGAACTGGTATCTTGTGATTTGACCTGTGAAGTATTAACCACTAACACTATAGACCCACAGGTCATACCTGATATACATATTGTACTTGATATACTAATTATATTTACTATTCTTTTTCCTATTATTTTCTATCCTCTTTTTATACACTAACAATATAAAAGAAATATCTTGAAAAGATGTATTAACAAAATTGATATTTGAAATTTATTTTAAAAGCCTTTGAAGAAATCTTAAAAATATATAAAATTAATCAATAAAATATTGATTAATTTTGACTAATAAAAAATTTAATATATAAGTTGTAATAATTATGTCAATAAAATAATTTCATTTTTATTTATAAAGTAATTTTTAAACAGTGATAAAAAAAAGTTTACAGTTATATTATAACAGAATTTCTTGGAATTTATATTATATAAAGTTTCTAAAGTTCTTACTTTTTTTTTAATGTCAAACAAAAAACAAGAAACACATAAAATATTTCAAAAACTTATTTTTGATTTTGTCAAAAAAGGAAAAAGTCAAGAAAGTATTTCAAAGTTCTTTAAAAAGGCAAAAAGTACTTAGAAAACCTAAGGGCTAATTACTAAATAAAAACTCTTGACTTTTATTAAAATGGAAACAGAAACATATCAGAAGTAATTAAGATCTTCTGAATATGTTTTTGAATCTTTTTTTAATATATTAGTATAAAGAATATTTGAAGAAACTTCAGATATATTTAAAATTTTATTATAATTTAAAATAAATACTAAATTATATATTTAGTTTCTAATAAAAGCAATGAAACAATCATGGAGTTCTATGAAAACCTTTATAAAAAATTAATTAATTGTTAGAATAGCAAAAAATTATAGAGAATAAGATTACCTACCTAGAAAATGAAATTTATGTGAGTCAATATTTAATTATCAAATATGATTTCATTGAGGTCAGGTTTATTTTGAATTTTTTCAAAGATCTTTAAAAACTTATATTTTATTTAAATAATACACAGTTAAAAGTATTGCGAAATAAGTATTTTTTGAAAAAATATATCTAGACTAAAAATGGATCCCTAAATTAAAAACAAGAACATAATTCAAATATTATTTACTATTAAAAAAGTTTTTTTTTAAATATAAGGTCAAAAAAAAACTATATACAAAGGTTTTTTTACAATTTAGGCCACTCAATTCAAGTGTTTTTTGAATTATGTCTCTATTAAAATAATGAATAAATAATTATATCCCTTCAAAAGAGACACAATTGATTTGTGAAATTTTATATACTAAATAGTTTAGGGACCTATCCTTAACCTAGACTATGAAGATTTTTATCAAACAAACAAGAAATTTTTTTAGCAAGAATATTTAGAGTTTTATAAAGACCTTATAAGAAAATGCTGAAAAATATATTATAAAAAGTATATTTATCAAGCAGTAATTCTTATAAATATTAATAATTTTAGTTCTTTAATTATTTAATATCTTATTGCTTTAAAAGCTTGTAAAAACAGCATTGATTACTTTGTAAGACTATGGCTTCAAAAGTTTGTAATACCATGTTTTTAGTTTTTGGCAAAAAGTATTTGAATATAATAAATACAAATGCAACTGCCATTGATATTTTGATCTGAAAACAATTTCAGAAGACTGTTAAATGCTTTAAAAACCATTTTATTTATTATTTATTATATTAAAAATTTTAAATTTTTTAAAAAAAAAACCAGTAACAAAAAAAATCTAAACCTATTGATAGTAATAATAAGTATAATATTTTTTAAAAAATTTCAAGTTAAAGTATTAAACAGATTTTTCAAATTTTTTAATTAATTCTATAAAATATATGCCTTCTAATAATACCAGGATCTAGATTAGATTGAATAATTTATAAATTAATAATAGAATTTTTATTTTTTAAAGATCTTACCTAATATATAAATCCATTTTTTTGATAATCAAAACTTATATACGTAATTAAATAAGGTTATAAGTAGATTAACTTGAATAAACCTATATATATATATAATTGGATATAAATCACTTAATAAAAAATATATATGCTATTAGTATCTTTTATTAATTTTAAAAATTATAAAATTTTTACAAGTTTAATTATTTAAAATATAAATTTTTATATCAAATTAAAATAATATGTTTTATTATAAATTAATAAAAAATCAATTTAATTATTAATACTTATAAAATGTTCAAACAAATTAAAAATATTGTCAATTGATATTAATTTTATTAAATTTAATTAAAAAATTATTATTATTATTTTATAACTTATTAAAAAAATATTTTTTAGATTAATAATTTTAACAATAGTTCGCCAGAATAATTATATAATATATTATTATATAAATAGTTATTATTATTGTAAAGAGTTTTTGGGTCGTTATAATTAGATGACTGTATTTTTTATTTTCCATATAATTTACTTAATTTTAAAGACTATTTGCCATTTGCCGATTTAGTCCCGATTTGTTTAACGACTTTACTTTTTGAGAATGAATCGTACCCTAAAGATAATCTTGTATTACATAGTTTTAATATAAAATAATACATCAACAATTGATTTTTTTTTGCGTAATAAAGATGTCGGAACTCCTTGCCATAGCTCGTCACGTGTACTTAATTAATCCATCAACAGGCATCTTCAAAACACTTAATTCCGAAGACTGGTCTTCGACGATAACAGCCGCGCATATTCCTTCAACCAATAAAATTTATGCAACCACAACATTCAATAATCTTTGGGAAATTTCTCTGCCCGACCAAGTTCGAAAAATCAGTTGGGATGGATGGGGAACATGCAACGCTTTAGTCGCTGTAGCGAATGACGAAGGAGGACATAAATTATTTGCATTTTGTCGTAAACTTTGGCTAGTCGATGATCCAAGTACTGGTCACTGCATAGATTACTTGGGTGGATATACAGATGTGTGGGCAAGAGTTAACGCTGCAACTGCTGTGGGAAAAAAAATCTTTGCAACTACTTCTGCCAATAATTTATGGGCCATTGACACTACTGCAAAAGAGGAACCAAAGAAACTTGGTGGTGGTTCTGATAATTGGTCTACATGCAAAGCATTGGTTTTTACGAATGAAAAATTATTGGCATTTTGCTATGGATTATGGGAAATTAACCCGCATAATGGAAATTATACGCCGTTCTTCGATGGAGATTCGGCTAATTCTCCAGACGCAAAACGGTCTTGGTTAAGTGTTAAATCGGCTACTGTTATTGGCACATGTGTGTATGTAGTATCTGGAAGTCAACTACTTGAATTGGATACGGTTACAAAGAAAGTCCGAGAGTTAAGTCAAGATGATTGGGGAACAACAAAAGCTTTAATAGCAGTCAATATAAAATGACTGAAAGATTATAGAAGAGAAAAATTATAAAATTTTTATCTAACTCTTTTGGATAAACTAATTTATTTCTTATATTCTTCTTCTAGTTTGGAACAAAGATGTAATATATGCAGTTGATAAATTGCTATACCTTTAATTTTTAAGGTACTAGTAATTAAAATGAAAGTCAGTAAATGTTATTATTTATAAGAAAGATTAATACCATTTTGGTTTTCTTTCTCCTTCCTTTAAGTTATGAAGTTTTTACAGATGTCTTAATTACGATAATGAATAAATATTTTTCGATATTATTAAAATTTTTATTTTTAATATATAATATGTCATCTAAGATTTTAAATCAAATACCGTAACTTATCCATAGTAGTATTTTGATACAACCCAGTAAATTCTGTTTTAATTTATATAAAGATTATTTTTTTTTTTGAATTTACAATGTGAAACAAAAATAATTAAAAAAGATTAAATTTTATTTTTATCATTAATTAATTAATTAAGATAAAAATATATACAGTATATGCATATGTTTAAAGATATAAAGAATATGAATTAATCTTTAATTTTTATATTAATTATAAATAAAGATTATTTTAATATATACTGTAAATTAATTAAATACAAATTAATAAGATTTAAAATATTTTTTAATTTAACATTATGTTACTTACTTTTTGATAAAACTTAACAATTTATTTTTGAATAGTAAAAGATATTTTATAAAAAACCATTAATTTAATTTGGTTTAAAAATAAAACTTTAAAAATTCAAATTGGCTTAAATTAACTTTATTTTTATAATTTGAACTGAATTTCAAATTATAATTTTGAAAGCTTATAAAAATAAAATAAAATAATAGTTACAATATAATTAATAATAAATTTTAAAAATTATAAAAATAAATAAAAATAAAATAATAATAATTTAATGTATATAAATCCTTAGTAAAATTAATAAAAGACAAAAAAATTGAATTTTTTTTTAAAAAATATTATTGAAGTTTATTTTATTGGATTTATTAAATAATACATATATTTTTTAAGTTATAAAACTATTTTATTACTTATTTCTTATATATAATTATAACAAATATATAAAAAAGTAAATAATATAAAGTATATTGCAATAACCTATATATACATGTGGTATAAATTATTTGTTGTTAACTCAATTCCCAAAATTCTCAAAAATAATTGCGTCATGACTCAATTATTTATATGTTTTAATAGTGACTCAATTAATTGCGTCAAATAATTGCGTCAATTGTATCAAGGATTTACAAATTTCAGCAATATGTATAAACCTATAGGTCTATAGCTCAGTGATAAAACTCCATAGGTCACCAGGTGAAGATCTAGGGTTCAAACCTACCTGGTTACAAAAATTTATCATCTTTATGATTAGTTAACCAACTTCCAATTTATGTTATATCCAATCAGCCACAAATCATTTTTTAAAATTAGTTAGGCTGCATGAAGATGAGATCTTTGGTCTTTCTGATGATCGCAAGTTGAAAACAGGTTGAAGCAAGAAAGGTTGCATGAGAAAAGGCTTCTGGTTTAACTCCGATAATAAGCTTACAAACTCTAATCCAAACTGACAATGGCAGACTCTGTCACATAACACAAAAAGATTAATTCTAAGCTGATCTATTCCAATCTGGAGCTTGTAAATCTATCCTAATAGTGGTGTTTCACAGAACTTAATAATATAACTGATAAGCAAGATATCAGCCACAGGTGATAAGAAGACTAGACAAAAATCGTTAAACCAAGTAAGTTTAGTGAAGATCTATAAGATTAAATCAGAATCCAAGCAAGGACGCCAGTTCCACAGGTGGTAAAAATGGTAGTGCTATACTATGCTAGTAGTATATCTCGAAAATCAATAATAACAATGAATGGAATATTGAAATCAATCTCTATAATAATATTTTACAATGTGCCCCACCTACAACGAATACAGTTGAGACTGAACCTAATAGATTAGATAGTTTAAACTAGTGGTAGGATTTTCATCCTATATAAGTCCCACCTGGCATGTGGATCATCTACTTGATATTTAAAATCTGTATAGCTGGATATATCGTAATTGATCTAGGGATACCGGGGTACTGAAAACAGTAATCATTAAGTAACATTAATTTGCATTTAGGATAGCAATAGCCTACTTTGTAAAAATGTTTGATGTAATGACTACAAACGAATGTTTAATAAACTGTCTCATATCCAGTGTTCTTAACCAATTAAAAAAATATATATATATAGAAAATATATTGCACAAATAGTATAAACAAGCCAATAAAAAAAATAACTTATAAAAATATAATAATTCAAACTATATTTTTTTAGGATATTTGAAAATTAAAATATTTTAAGTTTATAATTTTTTATTTTTATTATAATTTTTTTTTTGGATAAGTATATATCTTATTTAACTTTATTAAAATAATAAATTGAGATATAATATTATATATTAGTATATATAAAATATTATAAGATAAGTCAATAACTTTCTTAAATTATAAAATAAATTCAGTAAAATTATTTTATTTTTTTTTTTTAAGGCTAAGTTGCGATACACGCATGGATTTTATTGATGATGCATTACTATCACAATTATCATACATGAACGGTCTACTAGCTATTGCTAATGTTAACTCCCGCAACCCATCCTTTTTACCAGAATACCAACTGACACCCGGGAGTGGGTTCATACCCTGGCTTCAGTAAAATTATTTTATTATATGGCTTGTTACCTATTTTATAAAGAAAACAAAATATTAGAATTTTCTTGAAATAGCTAACCTGTCAAGATACTATCAATATCTTTAAAATAAAGACTAGTTATAAATATCTCTTTTATATTAGATAAGTATTTTATATAACTAATTATATATTTGTTAATGATGTATAGATATTTGTTCTCAATTTTTTAATTTATAATTATTTCTATTTTGGTTTTTTGTTTTGATTTCCAGAATCTTTTTTATATTGTTGTAATTTTATATTGTTTTTTTCATTGTAAGAACTTTTTATATCTTGTTTTGTAAATATTTTTTGAATTTATTATAATAGCTTTTGATATATTCTTATAAGTATTAATTGTATAGATATTTTTTAAGTATTGTAATAATTGTATAAATAATTGCTTCTCTGATATACTCCTTGATCAAAAGTTTAGAACCACCCTAGTGATTTACAAAAATTTTGCTTTATATAACTGTGTAATTTATTATAAAAAAAAAACACATTTCATATTACCAACATTAATAGCCCTATATATGATATCATTTTTGCTTAGTTACTTTATTGCTCTTTTTTTTTAATAGTAAAAAAAAAAGAGCTGACAGATTTTGAGTGTGAAAGAATTATCAGTTTCCATGAAGCTAATAATTCTAAAAGAACAATTTAAAAAAAAATTGGATATGGTAAGACCACAATTCATAATATTATAATGAAATTTCATAAATTCAATACTATTTCTGTTGCTTCAAGAAATAAACGTTCAAAAAAAATGACTCAACATAATAAATGCCATTTCAAGACAATAATAAAAAAAACCCATTGCGAACCTATAAAAAAAATACACAAATTTTTCTTGGAATTGTCTGGAAATAATATAAGTCAAAGAATCATTAAATGTACTTTATACAAAATAGGATATTATAGTCAAATGGGTCTTAGAAAGCCTTTTATTATTAAAGCTAATTGAAAAAATCAGTTGAATTGGGCATATGAAAAACTTTTTGGAAAATAGATAATTGGAAAAAAATAATGTGAAGTGATAAATCAAGATTTATATTATTTAGAAATAATGGAAAAATTCATATATAGAGATTTCTTAAAGAAAAATACAATTCTAGTTGTCTCATTCCTATAGTAAAATATAGTGGTGAGAGAATTATATTATGTTTGATTTGGATCGGGTCCTTTAGTTATAATTGATGGTTATGTTAATAATCAAAAATATATAGAAAAGATTGTTGACTATCATCTAATGCCTTTTTTAGAGAAATTTGAAAAAAGCAACAATGAATATTTTTTCAGCAAGATAATGCTAAAATTCATATCAGTATACAAATATAAAATTTCATAAATGAAATGACAATATCTCTCTTATCATGGTCAGGGAAAAGTCCAGACTTAAATTCTATTGAATATTTATAGGATGAGCTTAAATGACATATAAGGGCAAAAAAAATTTTTCCAAAAAATTTGGATGAATTGGAAACTTTTTATAAAAATGTTAATTACAAATTTCAAGTAATATGTTTCAAAAATTAATAATTAGTATGAAAAATCAGATAAAGACTATAATAAAAGTCTGTGGCTATCTTACTAAATATTAATAAATGTTATTAAATAGTTTTCTTAAAATAAATTAAATAAATTATTGATTAATTTAATTTTTTTTTTGATTTTTTAATAATAAATCTAATATATTTTTAATAAAATTTTTTATATAATAATATAATATATAAATTTAGATATAAATATAATTAATTAAATAAAATAATTTATTTATTTATTTATTTATTTGATAATAGTTTAAATATTATGAAAATTTATAAAAATATTAAATAATTAAAAAAAAATTTTTTTAATATCAATTAAATATATAATTACTAATATTTTAATTTTAATAAAAAATTGTTATTATATTATTATAATAATAATAAATTATTTACAATTATTTAAATTTTATTAGATGGTTCTAAACTTTTAGCCAAGGAGTGTATTATATTTCTTAAGAATTAAAAAAATTAAATACATTTTTTATTTAATAAGTAATTTTTACTTGGTTTGGTTTTTTTTTTTTTTAACAAATACTGCTAAAGCCTACTTTATTGAATTCATTAGATAGTATATATACTTAAGTATACAAAGCTATTTTGTTACCTATTTTTTTCCATATATAACACTATCTAAACTTTACAATAAAGTTATTTTGTTTATTTTAAAAGATCTTACCCCATATAACTTGTTGCTTTTTTTTTGAAAAGT